TTTACCGTTTGTGCGGTCGAAAACGAGCGTGCGGAGCTCTTTGCACATCTCGCGGCGGATCCCTTTCTTCTGGGTCACTGTTATATACTCCGTGGAGAAAAGCTTTCATACGTTTTGCTGGAACATACATATTTGACAATAAGTAAAACGGCGTAAATATTGTACAACGTTAAACAAGCTTTCACGATGCTTTGACGGATCGTCTATCTTGCTAGTACAACGGAATCCGTGGTACCCCAATAATATCTGTTGTTCGTTGCAACGATATCTCTGAAAGACTCGATCAAAATTCAAAATTTGTTAACCTACTTGTACATTTCGTCCTCGATCGGTTAAACACATTTTCGTGGAAATTTTAAACGACCATTGGACGCTTATAATTCACGCTGAATGTATTTTACATATAAATGCTGCATAAATTCCCGTGGCAGTGGTTCTCTCTGAACGTGCTGTCGAACGATAATTGAAATATTATAGAAGGTAAAAGAGGGCTTTCGATGTTGGAACAAAGAACAAGAAAACGTGGAATTTTAATTCCGTTTAAATGTTTCACACAGTTGGATCGAAACAATAGATTTTTCAGTCTGACTCGACCTTTTTCCTTTTTTCTATTTCCTTTTTCCACGTTGGATTCTCCAGTGGTACGCGAACTCCGTTCCGTAGGTTTCGAACGAGCCTAACCATCCAGAAAACGTTTTTCCGGTGCCAGATTTTTTCCTTTTTGTTTTGTTTCGTTCCTTCCTTTTTTCTTTTTTTTTTTTTTCGCTCGTTTTAAGCCGGTATTCAACGAGGGTAGCTGGACGCGGGTATACGCGAACTCAGCTTAAATGGCCTAACCAGTTTCACCCAGAAAATGTTTTTCATGTAACGGCCTGGCGGAAGTTGGACTTGGACGGACTTAATTGGGTTTTGTTCCACGCCCTTCGATCGGTCGACCGGCTGCCACGACTTTTGCCCTCTCTCATCGGTTCGTGACGAGTGCCAGAGCAACGTATCCGCGTTTTCCACGCGTTCTCCATCGGGATTTTCCCCGTTGTTCGGCTATCGATCCCCTACTTCCTTCTCCTCTCCTCCCAACTGCCCTTCCTTTTCTGGGAACACCGACAGACTGCCTGCACTCTCTTTCCCTTGCCTCCTATAACTACTACTCTATCCGCGAATATGTGTGGATGTGTTCGCCCTGCCGAAAATCGACTCTTACGAAAGCACTCCCCCAGGACGATTTTATGGGTTTTTACTTTTTTAACCTACATTTCCTATGCCAACGATAGAAACGCGGATTAATCTCGACCGATTCGATAGGAATTCCGGCGCGCAACTTTCAAGGAATCCACCTTAAACGAGAATCAACTTAGAATTGCGTCTTGCAAAAGTCTTTTGAAATTATTATTAGGATGATGGGATCCGAAAGGGATTTATTTGATTTAGCACCTGAATAATGTAAGATCCATAAATCAAACGAAGTCGCTGGTTAATTTTATTGTTTCTCGTTTCCATCATGATAATACGTGTTCTCAAAAATGCATGAGCGTTCCAGTTCGCGCACTGGTGGTGGTCAATTAGTTCGGATAATGGAGTCTCTGTATTACTAATTCGTAGCTAAATTGGATTTACGGAGAACCAAAAATTCTTTCTTTCGTCGACGCTTTGTCTTCGTTTATCCTATTGAACGTAATTGCATTTTTTTCCATCAAGATTTCTTCGCTCGTTCAATTATCGATCGGTTTCATCCCTTGTCTTTCGCCCTTGTCACCGATGCTTTCATGGAAAGCGTAACGGAAGAAACTTCGACTTGGACAGAGACATGTCGGTCTCGTGGGACGATTTTGCAAGTGTATCTATCGCACCCTTCGACGGGATCCTTGAAGCACACCCTTTCCTAACCACCTTCGGGGAAAGTCTTCCTTTCTTTCTTCCTTCTTGTATCTTCTTTGATCGGTCTAGCGTATGCTGCACGGCTTTTAAATAAAAACCGTCGAGAAATAAAAGCTTGTTCGACGTGGCATGTAAAGTGTGCTTCGCCTCTTCCAATTCGCGCCCGAACGATTCAACGACACGCGTTCGAATCGTTTTACCGAAGAGCTTGGAAAATTGGTTACTAATACGCGGGGGTAGACTGGGGGCGGAAAGTAACACATCCTCTTTAAAACACGGTTAAAAAAACTGTTACAATTACAACAAAACTCTTCATATCAAAATCTTATATGTATAGTTACCTGACATTATCCAAGTTATTAATAAAACATGGAGACCGGAGAAAGCGGGTCGGTTGTAACACAAATTTAACTGTACAAAACTAAAATTTAAATAATAAACGAAATAAATTTAAATTTGTAACCAATTATTCGATATCGTAATCGTAGTAAATATAGGAATCATTTTGGCTTCCTGGGCCTAATGCTTACATTCAATAAATTGCACCCATTTTTCATTTGGTATATTCACGGTGTAAGGTTCCATTTAAAGAAGAAAGTAACATTCTTTATCTGCTTGATCATTAAAAACTTTATAACCGACCCCAGCTGCTAATGTTACAATCGACCCCGTCTGTTTTCAACTTAAATTATAAATTTTGACGAATGTGTTTCATAAAATTGCTAAGTAACGATCAATATTACTAAAAAAAAGATCAAATGAAAGATTAAGAAAAAGAACAAGCACGTAATTACAAAGGGAGTATTTTAAATCAGTAAGATCACTTGAAGGTATCGAAACGTTAGTCTTTATTATACACGTCTATTCCAAATATCATTTTTCATTACATATCCAAAATTTATGTTAATATCTATTCAATGTTTTGAGATATTTGACCCGTTACTACTGTAGAATGCCGGCGAAAAAATGATTTCGTCTAACCGTCCACTAAACTCATCAGTGGGTTCTAGGCCCGTGACGGACCGCTTGCGAGAAAGGATAGAGTTACACGTGCGACACCTTGCGGCCATCACGGGAAAGAGGCCCAAGGCGCCTGGGGCGCGATAGTCCGCTTATAACTCCCACACTACCGACCCCGCTCTATGTGTTTTATATCAATTATTCTGTACACCAAGTTCCTGCAAGAAATTGGTTGCCCCCACGCTATTTCATCTATTGTGTGTTGTAAAATGGATTTCGAAAAAGATTTCATACTTTTGACTGATGGTGTACGTGATATCAGGAGATTACGAGAGACAGCCACGGGGGATTAAGTTTTTTTATCTGCAGAAAATGTACAGTGAAGTTATAACGAGAAGTCGTTACGGTTACTCGGCCGTCAGCAAAAGCTTCCCGTCCTCCTTTTTGTTTTCGTTAATATTTCATTGGTCGCGTCCGATTGTCCATTATTCTCTCGCATCGCTGACCGTTCCAACCGAATAACGTTTAAAGGCGAGCACGTAGCAAAGGATCGTACACATATACGCGATGCACACGTATTTGTAGATAGGGTTGGCATCGTACAAACGCGTCGAAATCTGGCCACGATGCACTCCCGGTTACTCGCACACGACCAATCATGCGCCTAGGAATTAGGGGTTCGATGTACGCTCTGGCTACTTTTAATTCAGCAAATTAATGAACACCGTCAACGTCGGCGACGTCGCAACGACTGCCGCATACAGATAACTACAGGGAAAATTTGCCGAACAGGCACCACCGGTGTTCGGATAACGTCGTTATCCTGTCGCTGGTTCCAAACTTTCTGTGGAAAAATCGACCATGATTTTTCATTCGTATCGTTGGCACAAAATTGATTGTCCTGTAGCGGCGTTCCTTTTATTTCCATTCAAAAGTTCCATTTGAAAACGTAAGTGAAAGAAATATAACTATAAAGTTCGTGATTCTAAATTACACACATTTGTCTTTGATGTTTCGTATACATTTTTTAATAAAGGTTTTACGTTGTTCAACGAATGGCACAGTTACTGTCGGTTACTGAAAATAAAAATACAGAATTTTCATTCAAATTGATCGTACGTTACGCGCAGCGCAACATTTTTCACGATCGTAATAATCGTTAAAAATATTAGCGATCGTTTATTTAGCGTGGCGTAAAATTTCACGTGTCTCGACCGATCCCCATGGTATTTGATAATTTTACCGTGCGCGAAGGAATAATTTAAACGCGGCTTGATTGCACCGGATAATCTTTTTTCCCTCTGAAATGAAAACGCCGATGGAAATCATCAGCGCGTAGGAACGTCGATGGGAGCCTTTATTAAATAAACACGGCGTTTTGATGTTACCCAACGGGAGGGAGGTCATCTTTCCGCGAACATTCGCAAAACTTTGTATACGAGAGGAACGTAACGAGGTGATCGTTAGCCACACGTTTATTACGCTCTCTCAGCGCCCTTGCGCAAATAAAGCGTGCTAAAATCCATGCTAGTGCAAATTGAAATTCCACTGAAATTCGGGTCAAGAAACGTGTACATATCGCCGAACGATCCGAAGAAAGAGCAAGCAACGTTACGTTTCATGTTTTGCTTACATTCGAATACCGCATTCATAATCTATCCTTTCGTACGACTGCAAGTCCTTTGTGTTCCCTTAATAAGAAACGATCGTTAGTTCTTCAACTCTTTGAGGCACGGAATTTTAAACAATAAAAAGACCCATGTTGCACAGAAATTTTATTCTTATAAAATATAACAAATTAAGTTCATTTTAATTAATAGAGAAATAGAAAGTTGAAAAGAATATTTAATGAATGAATGACTTAATTAAGACATAAACAGCCCCACCCATTAATCAATGGTATCGATTAAAACCCATTGGTGAACACAGTGAGCTGTTGAAGTAGATGGGTCTGACCGTAAACCTCTGTGTCAAGTAATTTTAATTTCTCGAGCTGGTACAAAAAACATCCCATCATTCATATTTACGTATCAAAAAGGTCGGACATTTTTAGCTTCAAAGAGTTAATCGATGGTCGACGCCGTTTTCGAAAAAAAAAAAACAAAAAAAAATCTATTGTTCCTCGAACAAATAACGAACTCTAGCATCCCTTTTTCTCGTTGCAGATTGGCGGCGCTGCAGTAGAATCGACGAGATACCAACGACGCCGAGGACGTCGGCGTGATCGTGTCGCGGGGGTGGCGGGGTTGAAAATCGACGCTTGCCCGGTGTCTCCTGCGTGTACCGCGTCCCTTCTCTCCTCTCGATTTCCTTCCCCTTTTTCCATCCAGTGGCCCTTATCCCTCGTACCGGCGGCGCCTCTTGCTCCAATCCACGTGCATAAGAGATATACGTAGGTGTGCGTGTACCAGAGGCGCGCAAGTGGTACGCACACGCGACTCGCCGCGGTCCTGTTCCCGATATACGTGCGTGAATCGCGATTGCGCGCTACGACTCTCCGTGCGGCGACTGGCGCGCAGTCTGGTGGGGGGACGCGTCACCTGTCGGGGTGCTGCGCGCCGCCAGTGTATCGGCGACCGTCCTTGGGTGCGGGTCGTGTCGTTTGCGTGGTCCCTTTAACGGACAAGTGAGACTGTTACAGTGTATCGAGAGAGAGAGAGACACACGCATGCACACACACGTTTTCACGTACGTACACGTGTTCGCCGAGTCGTTGTCCTACCTTTTACGCGTATATACTCCCACGTAGAGACACGCGTTTTCTCTCTTGCTTCCAACGTTCGCCGCTTTTTTCTTCCGCTTCTTTTCGCCGGGTTTTCGAACACGTCGAGGTGCGTGCCCGCACGCCAGCTTCGGTGCCGTGGATGTGCGCGGTCAGGAAGCCGGTTGTCCGCAAGGAAACATGCGTGAGCAGAGCTGGAGGAGAACGACTGCGACAACGACGAGGAACACGCTGCACGTGACTGCGGCACCCTCGCACGTTCTACTGCAGTGAGTGGAGCGATAGGGAGGGAAAAGAGAGTGTGATAGAAACACGTCCTTTCTCCTTCCGTTTTCACGTCGAGGTCTGTGCTTGACGGGGAATAAAAATAGAAATAAAAAATAAAGAGTGCCGGTGATTGGTGCGATTATTTCGTGGAGTTAACCCGAGGTTCTTTCTTTGCGTGATCCGCTCTCGGAGAAGACTACGAATCCTGGCACGTTTTCGGCGTCGCTCGAACCAGCTGAGAGAAGATGAGGCGTACCATCTTGGATACGAGGATGCACCCGGTGTTATCCTGCTGGTGCGTCGTCGCCACCGTCAGCCTAGTACTTGCAGCGTGGCAGGAAAACATCAGGCCGAAGATGTACGTCCAGCTGGGTGAGTGTAACATGTTTATTCATTGCATGATGCTACATACCTCTTGGGTCTGTTGCGTGGTGTTTCTTGTCCGCGAAACAAGGTCGACGGCCGAGCGATGCTGGCAGAAACATAACAACCGCGAATCTCTGCTCGAAACTTTTCAACGTACAGAGTATATATAGATTAACGAGACACTTATTCTACTCGAGTCTTTATTTAGAAACGTTTATTCTCGTTTTATGGATCGATCGCGAACGGTACTCGTCGATCAGATAAGGGTAGAAATTATTCACAAGATAGAGTACCATTCTACTTTTCTATTTTCTCGCTTAACACTGCTGGAATATTCGAAGAACAATGTGGAACGGAAGTTGCACGGGGTGCAGGGTCATGGACCTTCCCCCCGCTCGATATTATTTCACCCTTAGGGGAGCTATGTGTGCAACTTGGTGACTGTAAACCCTAATCAGAGACAACTTCCCCTTACATCGATACTAGGAAAGAATATATAAAGCTATCGACCATACTGTGTCCCGTTTAAATGATTAAATCGAGCTTCGTGGAAAAACTCGAGCTTCGCGTTTCGCAAACGCGTATCGATTATCTATGGTTCGCGATCCGCGTTGGAATGTAAAGGCAGTAAATATTTTGAAGCACTTGCTCGCTACAAATCAATCTTTAACGACTCCCGTGGTAGTCGACGCGTTAATTACGTTGCCTCTCGTTTCCCTTTGTCTGTTAAAAGAAACGCTAGTCGGAGCGTGACAAATTAAAATGTACCGACGCGATGAGAGAATTAACGATCGATCGGTGGTATCTTGGATGGGAGGGATTGCGAAAGATTTCGCTGATACGATGCGCTGTTGTCAAGGCCGTGGTGTATCGAGAAGAGGAGAATCGCGAAAGGGTACAAAGTGGCCCACATTCGTGCCACTCGACCTTAACGGCACCCTGCGCGTTTCGTAGCCCCGGCCCAACATCCATCATTCTTTCTGGCGATGCTTGGATATTTTAGCGAAATAAATTGCCACGAAGCGAGTGCATCGTTCCATCGCATGCCTCGTGACACACATAGTGTGCTCGCCGTGTAAAAAGCTTCGTGACTCGAGAGGATCGAATGATAGACTAGGGCCTACTCGCTAAGCGTTTCTCTCTCCGGTATTCTACTTCACCTATGGAATTTTCAGCTGTTCAAACGCGTTCTTTCTATTTTCAAGACGTTCTGATAAAAACAGAAAAGTATGAAAAATATGGACAAGAAGCACCACCTGTGTAAGAAATATTAATGATATTTTAACGAGGTGTAGACATTTAGGTAGATGATTAGGTAATTACAAATTTCGTTTCTATATTATTTTCCAATATCGGTGGAAACAGGAGTCGTGACATAAAATTGAAATTACACGAAGCACGTGTTATTAATACGCCAGTGCCGTTGCGGGAACGGTACTGTTTTGCTCACCGAGCCAGAATTTCTGCTAATTCTACGGCAGGGAAAACCACCACGGTGCAGAGTCGAAATTGTAATCACCGGGAAATGCATATTGCCGTTATGGGGGGCATATCGCCACGAGACAGAGGGAGGGTGACTTTTCCCTTCTCTTTGCTGACGGTGCATTTTCCACGGTTGTTTATTGCGATTCCACCGCCCGCTAACGCTTACTTTTATTTGGTCCGGACTTGGAGAGATACGGCAATATCGTTAGCCAATTACCTGCCAATTAAATCCTCTTTACGCTGGCTCTCGGAGAGTCACTCGTTTTAACCTTTTCATTTCCACTTCTCTTGTGTGATGTTCGCAAAACGATCGTTAAAACTTTCACAATAATTTGCTATTTGTTTCTCGATGCTGTAACTCGTTGCTTTATCAACGTCAGTAGTCACACGCTGAGAAACTTTTTCATTTTACCGATTATCAGTCTTTATCCCAAATCAGCTTTCGTGCACGCGAATGCTTCCGCGCTGTAATCGATCGATCGAAGATTGGAACGGCGACGGTTTCAGGCCAACGATTTCCCTTTTATCCGTAACAAGTAACGCTCGTCGAGATGGCCGATTTCGAGCTCGAACGCGTTCCGCTCGGCGCCGCGGTTTCGATTTTTAAACTCGTCGCGTCCCCGCTGGCGCCGCGCTATTCGACGCTTGATTTACGATGTTCGAAAAGCTCGCAGATATTTTAGGTATTTTTTTTATTTTTTTTTTTTTTAACTGAAAGTCAGTACGTGGACGATCGTCAACGCCACTCATGAAGTACACGATTCGACGTCGAATTCGTTTGAAATATCGCCGTTCGTCGATGGTTTTTACGTGACCAGGCCAACGGTCCGGAAAGATATAATAAATTTGCTCGTTTATGTAAATCGAAAGAGAGAAATATGATCGATGGATGAAAATCGAATATTAATCACGAAAATTAAAACGTCAAAACTCGATGATATTCGAAGGATCGCGAGAGTACGCCATGTACTATTATACGTCACGATACTGTTCTGAACATTTGTTAGTCCGAGTCAACATTAATTTTCCTTTATCACGAATTTATAATTAGCCGAGTTCCGTGCAAAATCATTCCAACCAGCAGGGTATTCATGCCTTGGGCGAGTACGACCTCAAAGGGTTAACCTTCTCAAAATGTAAATCACGACCCTTGGCGATAAATAAGCGTAACGATGCCGATCGATCGGTTGACGTTCGCTCGCGATGGAGCACGAGATTTTTCGGCGTGGCTGAACCGTTTTAACGATGAAATTCACGTGCCCCTCCCACGTACGCGACAGGAATGTATATATATATATATCGGGGCTGTAGCGAACAGAATGGTAATGTTTGTAAGAAACGTTATCGACCAACGAGACAAAAATCAAAGTCATCTTTGGCACGCAAATAATTCGACAGGAGATGGAATTTTAATTAACGCGTTCACCCCTCTGTCACTTATATCACGGGTGATTGCATCGTGAATTTGACAATTTCTTAATTAGCCAGTTATTTGGAAAAGTAATGCCGTCGCGGGATATGGCTACTGCTATCGCCCAACGAGACGATGGATTTCCAACTGGTCCGCCGGATGCACTCGCGTTACATTGCTTGATCGATCGGCCGATACATCGTTTACGCGTTTATGCGAGCATCGCGGTATTAAAAGACATCGTGCGGGATTCGGTGCGGTTGATAATAGCACCGGTTACCAGTTCATTACTACATTGCAGCCGAATGCGAGCGTCGGATCGGAATATGGGCTGTAGCGGCCAGTTAATCCATATTACGGTAACTTTATCTGGCAGCGAGGAATACCGCAGCGGACCAATCACAGCGCGACCCTCCCCTTCGACCGATGAGGATACATTATGATTAGTTTCAGCAGCACTGTGTAGGCGACCCCGGCACGTATAACCTGACCGACCTCGGTTCTAACCACTGGCTAAAATTACTGGGAATCGTGTCAATTGACTCTGCCACCTGCCTGAGAACCCGTGAAACGTTATTCTACTTTTGAAACCTTCACCTGGCTGCTCCTCGATAAACAAATAGAGAATAGGGGAAAGCAAAGATCATTACCCTTTGCGGTACGTTTGCAAAAATTGTCGTATTTCCTTTATTCGATTCTTCTTCAAACATTTACGAGTGGGTGATAACAAACTGGTGGCATTTAAAGAAGTAGGCACTCCCCATGTACAATGTACACCCCATCGTGAATGAATCGACGTCTGGTTACACGAAAGCCCTCCCTTATAGATGGAATTTTAATACAGGCTGAATAACGCGAATCCAGCAAGTATTAATGCCAAACAATTGGCGTAGGTGTAGAAGCTCGCGAGGCTGGAAATGATTGATTCGATAGGAGACGAGGGGTAGCCGGGTCGGCCCTTTTTAAGATTTCTCTTTGAGGATCGTTCGCGTGTACATACCGCTCCCGCATTTTTTGTGAACCTCGAGTGGTGTACTCGACGATAGAATAAGTAGCGTACTGGCATTGCCGAGAGGGGTTCATGAATCTTTTGTCGAGTTGAGATTCCCCCTTTCGCTATACTCGATCCCGGGGAAAAAGCAAAAGGTCAAAAGCGGCAGGCTCGGTCGGGGAAAGGAAGCGGTTTTCTTCGTTCGAGTGTACAAGGCAAAAGTGTCCTCTTATCGTCGGTGTTGACTCGAGGTAGGCGATTGCCTTCGCGAAAACTTGGAATGGAATTGCTTTCGCGTCGTTTCTCAACGATTCTTCGCCCGGCACGATTAGTTGCCGATTTTATTATCCTCTCGACCGATTCTTTTTTAATATCAAGACTCGAAGGTGGTCGGGAAAAGTTGTATCGACTCGTCGCCCGTCCCGACGCGGCGATCCCTCCAAAACGAACTTCTGAACAGTTTCGACGCGTTAATATAATTTCCTCGTCCGTTTCGAGCTCGTCCTCTCGATTCTATTACCGCTGCATGGAGCTCGTTTTATCGTACCGGTGGTAATTAGATCGGAAGCGATGGCTCGTGCCTAATTATTCGCGTGTCCTTAACCTACAAATTAAAAGGCCCCCGTCTGGAAGGCGACGGAGTGTCGATAACCAGGGAACCCGGGAAAGGAGTTTAACGAGACGGTTAACGTAGTTCGTTTTTCTTTCTTTCTCCTATGACGCATCGAGTCATCGTCGCACGATAAAGCTATAGGAGGAGCCGTGAAAAGCCGTCTATTTTCCTTCTCGAAGCCATCTTCCGCGTCATTGGATCGAATGATAAAATTAAATGGTGTCGTGGATCGTCCGATGATCCTCACCTTCGCAAAAGTTAACTGACCTGTCTTTGCTTTCGATCGCTTTATTTCATCACCCTTTATTCTGTATATTCAGAGTTTAAATTAAAATTTGATTTACCCTGCCGCATTTGGACGCGATAAAACAAGGGGTTAAAACTTGCCTCCTTTTTTTTTTCTTCTTTTCATTCGACCGTCGTTGACATTCATCATATTCTGCTCTTTCCTCGACGCTGGTCGTCCGTGCGTCGCACGATGCGACGACCCGATCTTTTCCTCCTCG